AGAGAGAGAGAGAGAGAGAGAGAGAGAGAGAGAGAGAGAAGAGAGAGAGGGAGAGGGGGTGCAAACGACAGAGAAGATACCGTTAGAAGAATACCATTGTATCATAGCTACCTTTGGCGGCTGTTCTTGATTTTGTCTCTCCCACTAGATAAGTCTTTCCTTGTGAGCCGCGGTGAGCCAAAACAGGGATGCTGAGGCGTGGATTTTGCACTCACTTTCTCACTCGTCCTAGGGGGGAAAGGTTGCTGTTCAGCTGAGCTGAGCTGTGTCTGAGAAGTAGATAGGTTTTCAGAACATAAAAAGCACTCTAAAAAAGAGAAGATGAGTTGGAAAAAAAAGAAGAGAAAAAATCGTTCGTTATGCTCTGTAAATAAACAGAGGGGAGCTGGTTAACAATGGTAAATTTTAAAAAAGCATACAGGAGCCATATACGTAATTGGGTGCTCTGGGAAGTCGGTCGTTGTGTGTGTGAGTTGCACAGAGTCTACGGTTTTGGAGATTGTTGCTAAAGCTGTGACAGAAGGAGTAGTGGAACATGAGAGAGAGAGAGAGAGAGAGAGAGAGAGAGAGAGAGAGAGAGAGAGAGAGAGAGAGAGAGAGGGGGGGGAGGAGGGGAGAGAGGCAGAGAGACAGAGAGAGAGAGAGAGCACTAAACACAGACCAGACCAAAACAAAAACCCTCTAAAAAACTAACCAATACAAAACCAAACAAATCACAAGAACAAAAGGCGGTAGATAGTGTAGATAGTTCAGACTCCCTCACCTCTCAGAGATGGTGTCTTTGGACTTTGGTGAGAAGCACTGCACGCTCCAGCCCTCCGTCTCTCCGTACTTGTTACACACGTCGATGGCGAACCGGCCGTAGTTGGCCCTCTGGATCCGGATGACCCGTCCTTCCTCACACTCGAGGGTCAGGGCCTCGTTCTCGCAGGCGTACGCCGTGCGGGGCTTGGCGTCTGGACATGGACACAAAGGTGGTCATCAGTTTTAGTAGTAAAAAAAAAAAGAGTTTTACGGCACTTGAAACACAATAATATTTAGGTCATAATAAAAGTGTCTCTTTCATCTTCGATTTTTAGGCCGAAGGGCTAGAACCCAGATGGCCGCTGGATCGGAAAAGTATCTTCTATTTTTTTAGGAAGTGCGAGATGTCACAGCCTTTTCCTGATCCAAGTATCCTAAATACTAATTATCTTGTCTATCCATATTCGTTTTTATAAGTCACTGTTAAAGAGAAGAATAAAAGTGAAGAGCAACATAAAATAATAATATAAGGAAAGTTAAGGATGTGCGAGGGAGTTACATTTGTCTGGCTATTACAATTAAATATAATCAATATAGTGTAAAACCACAGAGCTTGCTGTTGAGCGGGGGTATGCGGTATACAAATGCTATTTTATTACTTATTATTACTACAGTTAAAGGAAGCGCATCAACATAATGTCGGCATTTGGTACCACACAAACATTTAGAAAGATGGGTTACCAAGGTGATCGTATGGGTGTAACGTCTAATTTAACGCAGACACGATATCATTTAAAAGCAACACCTAGTTTAACCATGAAACGACATTCAAAAGTAACGTCTAATTTAACCCTGAAACGTTATTTAAAAGGCGGGACCTTCAAATTCAACATCCATTTATAATAGAACCAAGTCCACATGGCAGGGAGTTCTGAAACTCCTTAAACATGTTAAAGAAGCTCCCTGTGGGACTACAGAACAGGGTAGTCCTAACTCAAGACCAGCATGATGCACACCAAGCTATCGGCGCACCCTAATAGAAAGAAGGAGAAAGAGGAGAGAGAAATAACAAACAGATAGTAAAGACGTAGGACCTATCAATGGTATTTCCAGCTACCGGGAGAAAGTAATACGGTACTAAGACGGGCGTGGGGGTGGAGTGGGGGTGGAGCGGAAGTGCGAAAGAGAGAGGGAGTGAGATAAAGAGACAGAGACGGTGAGAAAGAGAGAAAGAAGGGGAAGAGAGGGAGAGAGACAGAGAGAGAGAAAGAGAGAGGGGGAGAGATAGAGAGAGATAAACGGACAGAAGGACACATACAGACCAACAGACAGACCAACGGACAGGCAGACGGACGGACAGACGGATATACATACATACAGACCGACAGACAGACAGACAGACAAACAGATAGACCGGCTGGCAGACGAGAGACAGATGGATAAATAGATAGATGGATAGATAGATAGATAGACAGATAGATAGATAGATAGATAGATAGATAGATAGATAGATAGATAGATAGATAGATAGAGAGAGAGAGAGAGAGAG